GGATGGATGGATGGATGGATGGATGGATGGATGGATGGATGGATGGATGGATGGATGGATGAAGTAGTTTACTTATAAACCTATTATTTGTGAAAAACCGTATATCTTGAAACCCAAAGCAAAATTGGCTAGCGGGTTTAGCTACTGTCTCATGCTACACGTAATTCTGTCTTTGAATCGCTCGTTTTCACAAAATAAGTCCTATTTAGATCATTGCCAAGTTTTAACAAAGTATGTACTAGTTAGCGTATGTATTTTTCTGTGCTGGACATTCTAAAGTCTAATTAAATGCCGAGTGAAGACGGATGTTGTTTTCTTCTCTCCTTCTAGCTCAGGAACAGTATGCTAGAGTGGCAGGCAAGTTTACTCTATATGCAAACATGCTTTAAGATGCATGACTGCATATACGCCAATGTTCATCACATTTTTCTTAATAAACGTCTACGTTATGTAGATGGCAAAAAAAATGAGATGTGAAAACTTTTGTCGTCTCTACTGAAATTCCTAGTTGGAAGAAAATGAGGAAGAGGAGGAAGTGGGTGTGGAAGGGGAGGAGATAGAGGCTGAGGTTTGTTGCAGTTTGAACTGGTTCTTAGCTTCACTCATCTTCAAAGTCAGAATCATTCCCCGTTTGCCCTTTTCCTGACACAGTTATAGTTTTTCCTACTAAAATCCCGTGTGATAGTTTGTCTTGAGGTTTTTTTGCCATCTGTGTGGATTTCTACCTATCTTTACAGCATTTAATCTAACCTTCCTCAGTACTACTCTTTCATGTTTCCTTTAATACCCATCTAGATATTGTGTGTACATGTTTTTTTTTCTTACTATGTAAATATTATTTGGTTACAATAGGATGACATGGTCAAGGTGGGTGCCAGTGTTATACTTTTTTGTGTGTGTGTGTGCTCATATTAAAGTTTCAAACAGTAAAGCTTAACATTCGATTTTTATTTGATCAGGTTTCTCCACTGTTAATCACAACAAACTTTTTAGATTATTTTACTTTTACAAATGTATTCCTAGATAAATCATTTTCATTACGTGCCAACAAATGCTGCTACGTCCCTAAATAATACATTTAAAGTCCGCATGTCCCGATATATGCTCAATAATCCAGGTAGATACATCTAACGAGGTTAAATCAGGATTCATTGTTGAAACATGTCGTCTTTTATCCAAAAGACTTCTATAGTCTGAGGAGTTGCAAGCAAGCTCGGTCTTATAAGCAACACCTGTATATAGCGGATAAGTCATCTTTGTGAAGAGAACTCGTCCATCATTAAACAGAGGCAAAGGCCTCCGTGTCCAACTGTCCTCCTCTTACAATGCTCTTATTATCACTCAGCCCTCTGTAAATAGCAAGCGGCCATCACGGCGCGAATGCTCAGCCTGATGGTCTTTCTTCAAAACTAGTTCTGACTGTCATCAGAAAACTGGTTGATCCACTGTGAGAAGGTGCTGCTTGTAAGACTGAGTTTGTTGCAGCTCCTGTGACTGAAGAAGTCCTTTGGATAAAACAATTCAACAATCAAGAACCTGTCCAGAGGACCTGACTCAGCCTTGTTAAAGTCCAAATGCAAACTTTAATCAAGGTGTTTTTGTTACCCTCTACCTCTCTGTGCTGCCTTAGAGAGAAATTGCATTTGAAGATCAAAAGGTGAGTATAGGTGCACTGACCATGCATCTCAATGCAAAATAAATACGAGGAAAACATGTAAAGCACATTTCATACCTAACGGCATCATCCATTAATCACTGCTTTGTTGTACCCTCAAGCCTTCCTTTTGTGCTTAGCTGAAACCTCGTTTTCCCCTTCACTAATGGTTTTATGTAGTTCTGACAGCCCACGAATCAAAACCCCATTAGATCATGAAATGAATGAGCCACACCAAGACTTTTTCCATATGGGCCAGTCCCCTCCTCCCCAGGCCATGCTTGTTTAGATGATGCCTGAGCTACAGGAGCCGATTCGTAATCTTTCCTACTTGTCCCCTCACTGTATGCTTCAACAACATTCATCTTTTACAAACAAAACTGCTTTAATACATACAAGAGTAAAAATGTTGTTTAACGTTCAGCCCTTTGCTTTAACTTGTAGGATGGTATGCTTTATTTTATAAAACTTGATGTGACTCATAGAATCTTAATTATTATTGATCGCTTCCACATTTTGTTTTGGAGTGATGCTTTCATAAATTTAAAAGTAATTCGGGATTAGGCCTGTCACGACAACACATTTTGCTGGGCGATTTCTCAGAAATTATTGCGATAAACAACAATATTGTTTGAAATTTGACAATAATTAGTAATTATTGTTTGAGCTCTTTAGCATAGCATTTTTCACACAAAGCTTTTAATTTAAAAAAATCAGTAAACAAGTTCTCAGCTTCTTTTTGCAGAGAAAAACAACTTTTTACACGAAGGCACAGGTTTCAATTGTGAATTTTGGAGATTCAACAAGACGGAGGTTTTTTTTTTCCCCGAGGTCAGCCTGTTAGCTTAGCTTCTCAGCGTTAGCTGCTGTTAACGATCCAAAACACGATTTTGGATTGTTCAAATAGAAAGAGAAGAGGTCAGTGAAGAGCACCGGAGTTGAGCTTTTTGTCATCCAATGTTTTCTGTAGAAAGAGGGAGGCAAAGAAACGATAAAGCTGATAAAGTAAAATGTGGTCGTTAATTTTCATTTATCATGCAATTAATTGATTTATTGTTTATCACGACAGGCCTATTTGGGGTACTTATGGACAAACTCAAAGTTTGTCAAACACTTTGACTCACCTTTTAGCAAAAATAAAGTGATCATACAGTGTATGCAGTATAATTCCTTTTTCTATTTGCACTTTTTTTTTTTTCTACAGATGGACACGGAGGCCAGCGACCTTCTGAACGACCTGCAGGTGAGACTGAACAACGTGCTGGATGACCTCAGCAGTACGTTTGGAAACAGGTACACTAATATTACACTTGCAAATAATTATTATTTTTTTTGTAACCACTCATGTTTGTTCAGACTGACTTTCATTTTGTATTTTTTGCAGCTTCCAGAGCCGCATCAATGATTGTATGCGCCAGATGTCGTCCTTGTTGTACCAGATCAAAGGGCCGCTCAATGAGAACACTAAAAACCAGGTGGATGCAGACTCTGACAACATGCTTCGTCCGCTAATGGACTTCCTGGATGGAAAGTGAGTGATTCTATTAGGATTAGGACCTCTCTTTGCTCATTTATCCTGTGGACTGCTTGTGTTCTTGTCTTTTTTTTTTTTGCAGACTGACGTTGTTTGCTGCTGTGTGCGAGAAAACCGTATTGAAGCGTGTGCTGAAGGAGCTGTGGAGGATCGTAATGAGCAGCCTGGAAAAAAACATCGTCTTGCCGCAGGGCCATGACACTTTTGTAAGTCTGCCATTTGGTTTTATTCACAACTCATTTGACTTTTTTTATTGAAACAAAAGAGCAGGACAGTAGCTACTGAGCCACTCGTTTGTTTTTTTCTTTTGTCTTCATTAATTAATTATTATTTTTTTTAGGGAACTAACATTCTGTCAGCTGCAAAAGAACTTGGGCAGTTCTCAAAACTTAAGGTATTATAATCAGTCCATGTTTTTTTAATTATTATTATTATTAATTAGAAAGTGAAAATGACTTTGATTGAATTAGGTGGTGCTTTTCAGCAGGCACATTAAAATTATTATTATTATTATTGTTTTATCAGGATCACATGGCAGGCGAGGCTAAGAGCTTGACTCCCAGGCAGTGTGCTGTCATGGACGTAGCATTGGACACTATCAAGGTGAGTTCATATTCATACTGTAGGATTTTTGTTCTGAGACGCAGAATAAATGTGTAAAATAAGTTTAATCTGCGGTTCATCCTTATGTATAGAACACTGCAGAGCCAAGCTTTTATGTTTTGGCAAAAATATTACATGAAACGTTATGTTCAAATAAAGCAAATAAAGATGGATAAAGAACCCAATTAAACACTCTACATTAAAATGTTTCTTTTAACTATGAAGGAAAATAAGCCAGAACTTTATCAACTCATGACTAATACATTTAAATCGTTATGGGAATAATTTAATTTGATTATGAATTTTTTAAAATAAATCAATTTTCAATTACAATTATTTGTGAATGGAGGTCCTATTTTATTTACAAATAATCAACATTTATTGTGGTAATATATTATAAAAGGAACAAATGTGTGTTTCAGAATGGTAGTCTGAGTTTCACAAAACATTTCTTTTAACAGTTTTGGCTTGGTTGCCCTCAGACTGGTTCTGTACGTAACAAGTGACCTTCAGCCTATAACAATTGATTGTTATGCACTGATGATCTAATGTTTAGACTAATGGTTCCCTTTGAGCATGTGTAAAGCCAGTTTTGGGGAATTCCTCAGGAAGCTGGCTTGAAACGCATCAATAAGGTGCTATTTATATGACAGATTGTGTTGGCAGACCTCAAACTGACAGTCTTTCGGATGAAAGACGAAACAATTCCTTCAAGAAGAGTCTGTCCAGATGACACAATTTAACTTTTTTGTTATTAGTAGTGACAGTATGATGTTTGGGACCTACAGTGTTGCAAGGTGTCAATAAAGCTTAATAAAATTAATGGCATAAATAGAGTTGATTATACAGCAGTCCCTCATCCGTACCCTGAAGCCCCACAATAAGTGGGACACAAGTGCAGCAGGTGCTAAATAATTGATTTTAAATAAAAAAAATTCCATGCCGATTGTGCGGCTCATCCATCAGTCAGCGAATTGTCATATCCAATCTTGCTTTGTGAAAAACCGCAATAGAGCGAGTCCGTGAAAAACGAACCGTGAAGTAGCGAGGGACTATTGCATACCAGTAAGCTCTGAAGCCTTTTGTTTTATTTCCTTTTGTGTGTGTCTGTGTGTGTTTGTAGCAATACTTTCATGCTGGAGGCAACGGTTTGAAGAAGGCATTCCTGGAAAAGAGTCCGGAGCTTTCATCACTGCGCCATGCTCTTTCCCTCTACACTCAGACAACAGATACTCTCATAAAAACCTTTGTGACCACACAGCATGCACAAGGTAGTTGAAACTCTGTTTAAGGATACTTATGACAAGTAAAATATGAACTCTTTTCCCAGACTAGACCAGGAGATGGTACTTTTTGGTTAGCAAAGCGCTTTAAACCAAGACTTGGTTTTGCATCTGTCTCCTGTGTTGACATGTTCTTGCTGTCTTCTTTTTATCTCCTGTGCTGCCTCTGTGCCAGTGCACAATGGAAAGGGTATTAGAATTACTCCCAATGAAAAAATACAGCCCAGCAGGGGTAGGTCCTCTTGAAATCATCATCCAGCCCTCCTATTCTTCCCCACTCACTTTTCTTTTGTAGATTTAGTTGTGTTCTGAAACTAATGTGGGTAGGTCCATTATAACCTCATTTCTCCACTTGTATTTCCTTCTCATAAGTCTTCTTTATGAAGTAGAACTTGTGTTTCTGAGTGTGGGACCAATTGTAAGTTCACTGGTTGTGTCTGGGTATGTGTTAAACCAGGCTCCGGTGTGGATAAGCCAATTGGTGAGGTGTCTCTTCAGATTGAGCTGTACACTCACCCAAAGAGCGGAGAGCGGAAGGTTACAGTAAAAGGTGGGTTTGACATTTTTCTAAAATATTAATTCATTTGTAAGCGGTGTTGACTTGTATATATTCTTGATTTTTATATTTTATATTACAGTGATAGAAGCCAGTGATTTAAAATGGCAAACATCTGGCATGTTCAGACCCTTTGTGGAAATCACCATGATCGGGCCTCATCTCAGCGACAAGAAACGCAAATTTCAGACCAAATCTAAAAACAACAGCTGGTCTCCTAAGTTCAATGAAACGTTCCATTTGTAAGTAGAAAATCCTGCATTTGTAACTGTAAAATTCTGTTTGGCATCAGAGATTCGGACAAAAGCAATTGTTTGTTGGTAACAGAAATATTTGTTGATTTTTATTACTATTATTTGGAGAATATGGCCACTAATACTCAAGTTATATATAGAATTGGAAGCAAACTGGTAACATATTGGTTCTGGACTCTGATGCGGATGTATATCCGATTGGGCATTTATCTATCCATCAATCTAGACTCAGTTGTCTAATGTTGATACTGATCATATTTTAGCTGATGATGATCATTTTTCAATTTGAGATTATCTTCGTTTAAGATAACAGTGAGGTTTTTGACTCAGATATTCAATGGCATAAATGAGGGTGAGAAAATGCCTGAGGAATGGAGAAGAAGAACAAGGGTGATGCACAAAGTTGTAGCAACCACAGGGGAGTTAAGTTGATGAGTCACAAAATGAAGATCTGGGAGAGAGTTGTATCTGTGAGCAACCGTATGGTATAATGCCCAGAAAGAGCACCACAAATGTCATCTTTGCTTTGAGGATGCTGATGCAGAAGTACAGAGAGGGTCAGAAAGAACTCCATTTGTGGATTTAGAAAAAGCATATGACAGAGTGCCGAGGAAGGAGGTGTGGTATTGCACGACAACATCTGGAGTGGCAGAGAAGTATGTTAGACTGGTACAGTACATGTATGAGGACAGCAGGACAGTGGTGAGATGTGCTGTGGGGGTGAGAGTGCATCAAGGATCAGCTCTGAGCCCCTTCTTGTTTGCTCTGTTGATGGACCAACTAACAGATGAGGTCAGGCAGGAATCTCCATGGACATGTTTGCAGATGACATTGTGATCTGTGGTGAGAGCAGGGAACAGGTGGAAGGGAACTTGGAGAGGTGGAGGCATGCATTTGAAAGAAGAGAAATTAAAATCTGCTGTAGTTAGACAGAGTACATGTGTGTGAATGAGAGGGAGGCCGGTGGAACAGTGAGGCTACAAGGAGCAGAGGTCACAAAGGTGCAGGACTTCATGTACTTGGGGTCCACTGTCCAGGAAAATTGGGGAGTTTGGTAAAGAAGTGAAAAAGAGAGTCCAGGCAGGATGGAAAAAAGTTTCAGGAGGGATTTGCAACAGAAGGGTGGCAGCAAAGGTCAAAGGAAACATTTACGGTACGTGAGACCAGCTATGTTGTATGGTCTGGAGACAGTGCCACTGATAAAAAAAGGCGGGAGAAAGAACTGGAAGTGGCAGAAATGAAGATGTTGAGGTTCTCCTTAGGAGTGACAAGGATGGAGAAGATAAGGAATGAGATCATCAGAGGTACAGCACAGGTTGAACAACTGTGAGATAAAGTTGGCGAGGTCAGACTGAGATGGTTTGGACATGTCCAGAGGAGGGACAGTGGGTATATTGGTAGAAAGATGTTAGAAATGCAGCTGCCAGGAAAAAAGACGGAGGAAAAATATGGATGTAGTTAGAGAGGACATGGAGGTAATTTGAGTGAGGACAGAGGACGCAGAGGACAGAGTGAGATGGAGAAGGGTGACTTGTTGTGGAGACCCATGAAGAAGGAAAATCAGAAGAAGATCTTAGCTTAAAACTCTGGCATGAGATGAACACCAGACCTTTAACATTGAATTTGCAATCAAGTTGTTCACCTCTTTTGTACAGTTACATAATGACAATCACAGAACACTTTGCTCTTCCACAACAGTGTCCTGGGTAACCAGGATGGCTTTGAGTGCTACGAGGTCCAAGCCTGTGTCAAAGACTACTGCTTTGGTCGTGCTGATCGAGTGGTGGGTTTGGCTGTCATGCAGCTAAGAGACATCATGGAAAGGGGCAACTGTGCCTGCTGGTGTCCACTGGGACAACGCATATACATGGACGACACGGGTCTCACCGCCATGCGAATCCTCTCCCAGCGCTGCAACGATGACGTGGCGAAAGAGTTCGTAAGGCTGAAGTCAGAGACTCGATCAGCCGAGGAAGGAAGATGAGGACAAATAAGAGGACAGAACAGAAATGGCTCTTTAACAAGTGGCCACGTGGACTGATTCTTAAATGTGTCATAGCTGCTGTCGGCATCTTGCCAACCTCACTGGCCTAACATTCACTTTGTGTGTTCCTCAAACCCAAACGAGTGGACAGCACATACAACACACTCAGGCTCTGACCACTTTATCATTCTACCACTGTTTTTAAATCTCATCCTCATCTGCTGGAGTGGCAAAGTGCGCACGCAACAGCCTCAAGGGAACAAAATTTAGGTTTCTATGTACTTGTAACTCCCAAGTGTATTTGTGCAATAACCCTATCCTCCCTCTCTCTCACACACACAAACACACACACCCTCCCTTTACTTCTAGCCAAGTGTTTAAGCCTTACACTGTGGAAACTGTGAACGTGTGAATTAATTTGTCTTTTGCGTGCCCTTGTCTGTAGCTCTGTGTTTTGAGTACATGTGAGCAAACATTTTGTTAAGGAACGTTTTCTTTCATAGTACCTGGGAACCGTTTGGGTCGTATAATGAAAGTTATCAACTTTACTATGTAATTTCTCTAATACAAGTTTTACTTTAGAGAATGTACTGCAAACACCAATCATTAGTATATTGCTTTTCCTAAATTAATTGGTTTAAATGGGTGCCTTGCCTTGCAGAGACATTATTATATATTTTTTATTTGTATTTAAATTCACAATTAATGTGTTTTAACTTCAACTTTGCGACACTTAATTTTTTTGTCTCTATTTTAAATTTTTAACCCATGTGGCCTGGTGTGACCTGGAGGTTTTTTTTGCCATTTTATTTATTTATTTATTGTACATATTTGTTTGTGTCTGACCTTTTCAAAAATTGAAATGTGATTTGCTTTTTTTTTTTCTGGGTTGTGTTTTTTGCACAGTGATCAGTGTGAAGGAGCTGCTGCAGTTTTGTTACGAAATGAAACACACACTAACAAATAAAGTGACAAACCAAGCGTGTGGAGTTATTTACAAAGACATTTTGTAAAATTATAACATTTCATGTTGATCTTTCGGGTTTTGTTGATCTACGTACAGATCTGAACATTTAGACATGAGATCAGCTGAGGTGAACACAGTTTACACGTTCCCTCGTGCTGTTCTAATTTTAGTACAAGTGGCCTTTAACTCCCCCTCTAATGATGTCAGCAGAGTTTTTTAAGTCAACATTTTAGACTTTTTATTTAATTTTTCAGAAATATTGCCATATAGTACTATAATATACATTTATTGTGATGTATCATGTTGAGAGTAAATTCCCTCTTGTTGTATTTTTCCTTTATCTGCCAGTCTGGGATGGTTCCTTGGATTTTTGGACGTTTATATTTTTTCTATATTTTTACCAGATAATTTATCCTAAACTAGAAACAACTTTCAAAGGCTTGGTCTTAATGAGGGATAAATGTTGTTGTTGTGTAAAAAAACCTTTTTTTTTAAATTTCCCACTTTTTATTGCACTCTAAAAATGACAAATTAGGACTCGGTCCTGTGAGACACGTTCCTTGTGCCAAGTCAAAAGTGTTCACTTTTGCTGTTTTGTATTGTGCATTTCTAAATCTTAAAAATAACACTGCAATAGTTTTACTTTCTGTACATCATATCTGGAACAGTAACTGCATTTTTGTGATGTTTTCTATGTAATGTCACTACACTGAATGTCACCATGTAAACATCCCAATGAATCTTTTTATATATAAAACTTTTAAGAAGCACTTTTGATGTTGGCTTTATTTATTTTTGTCGACACAAACAGCTGAGTGCACACATAACTAAAGCGCTCGTCATAATTGAATGTGTTCTTAGCTTTAGACAGCATGCACTTGCGTTTTGTCAAATACATTGAGCTTTAATTGTCTCTCCCATTAGACAGTAAAAACAAAATCGGCATTTATCATTTTGCTCCAAACATTGACTTTAAAAAAAAAAACATACAAAAAAATTCCAGTAAAGGTTCCCTCTTGAATAATATTTCATATTCTAGGGAAATAATCCTAGATGGTGGTGCTTATAGCAAAAAGTTATACATTGTACAGCAACTCTTTAACAGTTGAGATCTATAAAATGTAAATCTAGAATGCAGATTTACAAATGTCATAAACCAAAAAAAACAATAAGGAACATCACAACTAATACAAATATCTAAATATCTGGGAACTGTTCTTGATGCCAAATTGACCTTTGACCCACATGTGAACTCACTTGGGAACTGTTCTTGATGCCAAATTGACCTTTGACCCACATGTGAACTCACTT